TATAATTGATCGAGATTGTACTAATTTGACTTCAATTGGACTAATTCGAGTTCGATTACAGTATAATTGACCGAGATTGTACTAATTTGATTTCAATTGGACTAAATCGAGGTCGATTACACTATAGTTGACCGAGATTGTACTAATTTGACTTCAATTGGACTAATTCGAGTTCGATTACACTATAATTAACCGAGATTGTACTAATTTGACTTCAATTGCACTAATTCGAGTTCGATTACACTATAATTGATCGAGATTGTACTAATTTGACTTCAATTGGACTAATTCGAGTTCGATTACACTATAATTGATCAAGATTGTACTAATTTAACATCAATTGGACTAATTCGAGTTCGATTACCCTATAATTGACCGAGATTGTACTAATTTGACTTCAATTGGACTAAATTGAGGTTGATTACGCTATAATTGACCGAGATTGTACTAATTTGACTTCAATTAGACTAATTCGAGTTCGATTACACTATAATTAACCGAGATTGTACTAATTTGACTACAATTGCACTAATTCGAGTTCGATTACACTATAATTGATCGAGATTGTACTAATTTGACTTCAATTAGACTAATTCGAGTTCGATTACACTATAATTGATCGAGATTGTACTAATTTAACATCAATTGGACTAATTCGAGTTCGATTACCCTATAATTGACCGAGATTGTACTAATTTGATTTCAATTGGACTAAATCGAGGTTGATTACACTATAATTGACCGATATTGTACTAACTCGACTTCAATTGGACTAATTCGAGTTCGATTACACTATAATTGACCGAGATTGTACTAATTTGACTTCAATTGGACTAATTCGAGTTCGATTACACTATAATTGACCGAGATTGTACTAATTTGATTTCAATTGGACTAAATCGAGTTCGATTACACTATAACTGACCGAGATTGTACTAACTCGACTTCAATTGGACTAATTCGAGTTCGATTACACTATAATTGACCGAGATTGTACTAATTTGATTTCAATTGGACTAAATCGAGGTTGATTACGCTATAATTGACCGAGATTGTACTAATTTGATTTCAATTGGACAAAATCGAGGTTGATTACACTATAATTGACCGAGATTGTACTAACTCGACTTCAATTGGACTAATTCGAGTTCGATTACACTATAATTGACCGAGATTGTACTAATTTGACTTCAATTGGACTAATTCGAGTTCGATTACACTATAATTGATCGAGATTGTACTAATTTGACTTCAATTGGACTAATTCGAGTTCGATTACAGTATGATTGACCGAGATTGTACTAATTTGATTTCAATTGTACTAAATCGAGGTCGATTACACTATAATTGACCGAGATTGTACTAATTTGACTTCAATTGGACTAATTCGAGTTCGATTACACTATAATTGACCGAGATTGTACTAATTTGACTTCAATTGGACTAATTCGAGTTCGATTACACTATAATTGACCGAGATTGTACTAATTTGATTTCAATTGGACTAAATCGAGGTTGATTAC